CATCAAATATATCTTAGTAAATAGAGATAAGCAGTTCTATAAAATGAACATGAGGAATATTTGCTTTCCATAATTCATACAGTCACTATTACTAAATTATAATTACTATTAGAAGTATTTTATCTATGTTCCCAGCCTCTTCTTTCCATACTAACATTTCTCTTTTCCTCTGTCAAGTACATTTATCCCATCAAATTTTTCTAACTGGCAAGGATGTGATACTCATTTACACCTTTGAATGATGAGTAGGGTATTCTTTTCTTCATGAAAACCCTATTCTCAAGAAAAAATAAGCCATAAGCTAAGAAAGTAAGAAAACTGTTTTCATGGCATTAAGGTAAACAAAGTTCCGAAAACACATATTATCCTAATAACCTTAAGAATAAACCTGGGGGGTGGAGGCACGATAGTCTAACTGCTAAAGTCTTTGCCTTGAACACATGGGGATCCTATACAGACGCCAGTTCTAATCCCAGCTCCTCTGTGTTCCATCTAGCTCCTTATCTAGCTCCCATCTAGCCAGCATGCTAACCTAGGCTCTTCCCTCTTTCTTCCAAAACTGCCTGATGTCAGGCACATGGTAAATCCCCATTCTTGCTCCCTGGACATGAGTCCCCTGTTCCTTGTATGTTCCCAAAGGTGCCATCACCCAGACCCTGTGCAAGTCTGGTAAGCACAAAGGCACCCAGGGAGTATGCTGCTGCGAAATGCAAAGGCCATTTCATAGTCCCTATATACATACTCACACACAAAACCAAGAAGATCTAACTATTTCGTAAATTGGTTGAGTTATATTAAATTACTTATTCTTTGTTGGTCGTCCAACAATTACCAGTTGTTGGTCATTTCAGCTTTACCACTGCTTTGCCATTGGGGATATTTGCTATATTGGGGATTATAGATATTTGATAAATATCATAAAATAGATCTTTAAAAATTTGCCAAATCTTTGTTGCAACATTTCTTCTAATTAAATTTTTAAAAACCCTTAAATGTGTAATTATGAGAAAATTCTTTAGATAATTAAAGTAGATTCCAGCACAATGGTGTAGTGGCTAAATCCTTCCTGTATAACCACTGGGATGCCATATGGATGCTGGTTCATTTCCATCCAGCTCCACTTCCCATCCAGCTCCCTGCTCATGGCATGGGAAAGCAGTAGGGAATGGCCCAAAGCTTGGGACCGTGCACCCTCACGGGAGACTCAGGACAAGCTCCTGGCTCCTGGCTTCGGATCAGCCCAGCTCCAGCCATTGTGGCCACCTGGAGAATGAACCACCAGCAAAAACTGATGTGTGGTGGTCCATGCCAGACTGGGCTACAGCACCCATGAACACAGATGATACCCAGGCATTGGGGAAGTGGTGAGAGCCTGCTAAGTAGTCTGCAAGGGGGGCTCTCTTGCTTGTCCCTGTTCCCACTGGTCAGACAGGACTGGAACCAGGTCAGACCATGCAGGGCAAGACTACAAATCCTGTTGGCCTGTACGTGCACTGAGTTGGGAGAGAGCCAAGCTAGGCTAATTGACTAGATTCACGGATGCATTATGACCCAGGGTAAGTATAGGTTGGTTAGGATTAACCAGAGCATCAGCTGTAATGTGCTAGGAATGCTGGCAAATCCTGTCAAGCCCAACTGTATAAACACCTGAAGAGTGCAAAATCCAGGAATCAAGAGTGGGCTGATGGGCTGCAACTCCCACTGCAGAGCATGAGAACCAGTGCTAGAAGAGGGCCCAGCTAGATAAGCTGTGTGCCGGCATGAGTCTGCGCTGGATAGTGGGGTCAGTTGAGTTGAACTAGGCTCCAACATCCACTGATGTGCATGAGAGCTTAATGGGATATGGACAGACTGGATCAGTCTGCTGTACAGACTGGCAAGCACAGGAGCCAGGGCTGGGGCAAGTCCTGGTGGAACTTATCAGAGTTGCTCTGACTAGGCTGCAGTTCCCACTGGTGTATGTGAGAGCTGAGTGTGTGTTTGGCTGGGTTGGGCTGAGCCACAGCATCCATTGGCTGATGTAAGAGACGGGGCTGGAGACAGAACTGACCCAGCAAATGAAACTTCCAGTGTATGCGTAGGCTGATGTGGGTGATGGACAGAGCCAGACCTCGTCCTGCCAAACACACACAAGACTCAACCTCAGATGAAGTTTCTTTGGGGATTCCCCCAACTGAACCACTGGACTCAGAGCTCCAACCATGGGGAGAATTGCAGGATCTGTGGTCTGACCGTGGAGTGCATGTGTCAGAACCTGGCCTCTCCCAATGGCTAAGATGGTGCAGTGGTTGGCATGCCCAGATGCACATGGAGGATACAGCAATCCATTGGAGCCTACACAGGACATGTTGTACCACAGCAGAGGAAAGAGAGCAGAACAAATGGAGAACTCTCCCAGACAAGCAGTGACAGCAAATATCTAGGGGAATGGAGACTTTAAGGTGGACTACATCAGCCAATAAAACTTGGATTTCCTCATCCTTCATCAGTGACATCAACAGCATTTCAGAGCTATCAAAACCACTTGAACAGAACCCCTGAAGCATGCTCCACATCAGCATACCTGGGATGATACTGGGTGGCCGTCCCCAATCCCTAGGTGCTGAGGTGGCTGGGAGACTGGGTGCAGCTTCTCTCCTGTGTTCCCCCAACCCTCTGTTTCCCCCAAATACAGAAAGAAGAAAAAAAAATGGAAACAATGATCTCACTTACTTTCCCCTAATTCTTGACCCTTCCCACTCTAATCAATTGTGTAAAATTAGCAAAAACAAAATTTAAAAGACTATGAAATGATACACACTACAGAATTCATACAGCAGCCTCTGAGTAAGCAAGATAGTACAAGTTCTTTACTTTGTTATTTAGTCATTTGTAGTATTGCTCTGCTTTGCTATGTACCTGTAACAGTACACTTGATGTGTATATATAAACATACTACATAACAAAAATCTTATTTGTACAATACTTGTGTTAGATTCTTCTGCTCTGGTTAACAAATGACTGTCATCCATGGGTATTTTGCAACATAAAGAGTGCAACAAAAATAACTATTTAAGCATAAATTAATATTTTTGATATGGGAAAAAACTTGGAGAAAAATGAACATAAGTCCTTAAATAAAACAAACTATATAACCACTTTAAAGGTTGCCAAAATCAATAATATTTGTAAAAGTGTGGCCACAGAATATTAATTTTAAGCCAATTCATTCTTTTTTATATATATTTATTATTTTTATTGGAAAGGCGGATATACAGAGAGGAGAGACAGAGAGGAAGACCTTCCGTCCGATGATTCACTCCCCAAGTGAGCGCAACGGCCGATACTATGCCAATCCGAAGCCAGGAGCCTCTTCTGGGTCTCCCACGCGGGTGCAGGGTCCCAAAGCTTTGGGCCGTCCTCAACTGCTTTCCTAGGCCACAGGCAGGGAGCTGGAAGGGAAGCAGGGCTGCCGGGATTAGAACCGACACCCATATGGGATCCCGGGCATGCAAGGTGAGGACCTTAACCACTTGCGCCACCACGCCAGGCCCGAGCCAATTCATTCTTCAGCTTTAAAAGGAAAGTAACTTTTCTAGATCACAAATACAGTAATTTTTATTTCCCAGAATTTTAAATTTGCACACAATGTCTACTCTGTTGGGTAGGTATCCCCTTTGCAAGGTCGCCAAGCAAATATCTGCCTAGCATGTTCTGTGTTCCCCATGAAACGTTCCCTGATGACTCCACCTGTTGGTACAGGCTCCTACATGTACTGTTCTTACAGGTATTTCCACAGTACGTTATTCCATAATGTAAAATAAATATCTATTTACATTCCTGTCTGTTCCATTAGACTGCAAGTTTCTTAAAAGTGCCTTAACCATTTTTATATTCCTTGTCTATTCCTAACAGTGAGATATTAAGAAAACTGCTTCAAAAATACCTTATAATTCTCTTGCAATTGATTCAATTCACATTTTTAAAAGTGCAAAGTTAAGTTTGAGTGACTTATGGAAGGGGAAAAAAGAACAACAAAAACATGGCTCTTTACCAATAACCTTTTTTTTTTTTTTACAATCTTGACATAGTTAGGGTGAAAAGGTTCAAGCACTACAGAAAGATGGGTAAGACAATTAGTTCCATATTGTTTCTTTCATGTATCTGATGTAAAAGGGGATTTTAAGGGAGAAGCCCCACCCAGTCTCCCACCCACCCCAGGTCCCAGATGTGGAGCATGCTCCGAGGGTCCTGCCCAAGTGATCTCGATAGTTCAACAGTTCTGAATTGCTGCCACTCTCACTGCTCCAAGCACGATGTGTTTGTTGGAGATTCCACTGATCGACATAGTCCATCATAGTGTTTCCATTTGCCCAGTATTTTCATTGCCAACATATAGCTGAGGTGGTTGATTGAATTTTTCTGTCCTCTGTAGTTTGATGGTTAGTGTTCTGAGTCCGAAAGCTCGATTGGGGGGAATCCCCAAAGAAACTTTGTCTGAGGTATTCCCAGACCAGATTCTTATATGTACTAGCAAGTACAGGGCCAGGCAGAGTCCATCACCCCAATCAGCTGGTGGTTGCAATTGCTGGGTTGGTTCTGTTTCCAGCCCTGCCAGTTCATGTCCAGCAGCTCCATTTCCCATCCAACTCCCTGCTTGTGGCCTGGGAAAGCAGTGGAGGACAGCCCTAAGTCTTAGGACCCTTCACCCACTTGGGAGACCCAGAAGTTGTTCCTGGCTCCTGGCTTCAGATCAGCTCAGCTCTAGCTGCTGAGGCCATGTGGGGAATGAACTAGTAAATGGAAAATTTTTCTCTCTATTTCTTTCCTTCTCTCTATAAATCTGACTTTCCAATAAAAATAAACAAATTTTTTTAAAAAGCACTTTCAACATCCACAATGTTCTATATAACATTATTTTTAATTCCATTTCAATTTGCACCAAAACCAGATTTTAAAAATCTGAAAATGCCATCTCCAAGATCCAAAATTATTCTAAAAATTAAAGAAAATATACTTACAGTAACACAACCTTTAGCAGCTCCTTTTATTTTACCAATATATATGGAAGTAAATATAAAATCCAGTTGTAAAGTCATCTCATTACAGGAAGTAGTTTCCATGACCAGATTGTATGGACATAATTCAGATGATGTCTAAAAAGAAATAAATTATAAAGTGCAGATAATACTATGGATTTTACAAGTGTGGGAAATATTACCTCTACTGTTCAAAGCTCCAGAAATCTTTCTTTATATCTAAGCTGTGGTCTCATATTCAATGCCCCTAAATAGTTATTATTCATTTTTAAAGCAAAAATAAATCTAGATTCACATAGAACTTTAGCTTAAAGTGAGTTTTATGTCTTTCAATCTCCACTACCAACTTATGGCAGATTTTTTTCCCGTTCTTTTTTTTAAAAATTGAAGCAACGTAATGCTTGCATTGGTTAATTGAGTTGCTCATGGTAAAGCAGTCACTGAGACTCAAATCCAGGTATCTATTTTGACGTCCAGGGTTATTCAAACTACAGAAAATTGTTACCACTAACCAAGATGATGATGTGGGTTTTTCATCTTTAGTAAGAGTGAAGGGATGAATGCCTAATAACTGTCTGTTACATTGGATCTAAATGCTTTATTACAGACTTTTCAAGCCAGGTAGAAAAAGCTAAAAAATCATACCAGTTTCATAGAAACATCTACATAACTCCTCTTTCAAACTGTAATAAACCAACAATATCAGTGGTAGCTGGCTGCCAACACTCTTCTGACCTTTATACTGCTTTCAGGTAACTTTTTCAACTTCTTAGTCTCTCCGTATTTTTCTTTACTATCTATCATAAATGGCAATTAAAACAATAATATGCACATTAATATACTCACTCCCCTGCTATCTGTAGCAATTTCTAAAATTCTTATCTAAAACACATGCAATACTCATTCTTTCTAATCTAACCTACAATACTATTTATCTGCTTAACATTAATTTCTTTATCATTCTCTTTTATTACCTACTATACTTTTTAATTCTCTAAATTAAAAAAATAGTTAATTTAACCACAGGTGGTTTCAATCAGCCAAGCAAATAAACATAATTTTTAGTGAAAAAAAGGTGGTATAGAAGAAGATTCTTATAGGGCATTATAATTTGTAGACTGCCTCCTAAAAATAACCAGTTCTTGCTTATCATAACTGCCTCTGAACCTGGACACAGCAGAGTACATGGAAACCTTATTTACCTTATATACCTTAGAAGGGCTCTGTAGTATTTACTTATTTATAATTACAAATTATGTAAATACTGTAAGAAATTATTTTCTTACCAGGAAAAAACTATATTTAGGGGTCAGTATGATGGTTCAACTGGCTAATCCTCCACCTTGCAAACACCAGCATCCCATATGGGAGCCAATTCATGTCCTGACTGTTCCATTTCCCATCCAGCTCCGTGTTTGTGGCCTGGGAGGGCAGTGGAGGATGTCCCGAAGCCTGCACCCACATAGGAGCCCTGAGGGAGGCTCCTGGCTTCTGGTTTCAGATCAGCTTGGCTCTAGCCATTGTGACCATTTGGGAAGTGAAACAGTGGACAGATCTTTCTGTCTTTTCTTCTCTATGTAAATCTGCCTTTCCAATAAAAATAAATAAATCTCTTAAAAAATAAACAACAACAAAAACTATTTAAAAAGTTAAGGAAGGGCCCAGCACTGTAGCCTAGTGGCTAAAGTCCTTGCTTTGCTCGTGCCAAGATCCCAAAGAGGTGCCAGTTCCTATCCTAGCTGCTCCACTTCCCATCCAGCTCCCTGCTTGTGGTCTGGGAAAACAGTGGAGGGTGGCCCAAAGCCTTGGGACCATGAATCCATGTGGGAGACCCTGAGGAAGGTCTTGGCTCTTGGGTTTAGATTGGCTCAGCTCCAGCCACTGCGACCAATTGGGGAGAAAACCAGCAGATGGAAGATCTTCCTGTCTCTCCTTCTTTCTGTAAATCTATCTTTCCAATAAAAATAATAAATGAATCTTTTAAAAAAGAAAAGTTAAGGAGGAGGTGAAGGTGGGGGAATGGAGAGACAGAGATAGAGAGATCTTCTATTTAATGGTAAACTTCCTAAATGTCATAATGGACAGGGCTGGGTTAACCCAAGACCCAAGGCCAAGAACCTAGAACTCCACCCAGGTCTCCCATATGGGTAGTAGGGACCCAATCAAGTTTAGGCTATCCTCTGCTGCTCTCCCAGGCACACCTGCAGGAAGCTATGTCAGAGATGGAACAAGTTCTCAAAACAACACTCTAATCTACGATGCTGGTAATACCAGTGGTGGCTTAACTCACTGCACTACAACACAGTCCTGAGACATTCTTTCCTGTAATCACTTCATACTATTACGTCAGTTTATGTGATATCAAGGCAACTAAACCTATCCAAAAAGTTTGAAATCATTATCAATAACACTTTTAATTATAAATACACTTAAGTGATCAAGTGAGCTAATAACCCAAACCAACAAGAATGGTTACATTTAGTGAAAATTCAGAAAGCACCATTTAGGGTGGTCTCTGTGTGAAATATCAACCACAAAAGACATATCCATGAAACTACAAACAGGCCATCAAACTGTTTTCTTAAATATGACCAAACTCTTCATACACTTTGCAAAATAACAGTCTATCATGGATCAAAAACAAACTAACAGAAATTTCTCATAATGCTGGTCATTTATAATCATTTGCAAAAAATAGGATATTATATGCTAATAATACAACAGTAGTGACAATAAGTAAATCAAACCTTACTCTTTAAAGAAGTGTATTAAAAATGTGATTGGCTAATATTAAACTTAACACTCTTTCATTTATTGCTTGCAGGAAAAGAGGAGGAGATAAAGGACTTACCTGCTTAATAAGTTTCCAACAACATTATAAATGCATTCATACAAAGCTAAATTTTAAAAGTTCATGGATTATAGAATTGAAAAGATATTTATTTTGAGGCAAAACAATTTTGAAATCCATATAATTCTTTCATAATACAATTTTTTTGTTAATGGCCTTTATGGATTATTTCATTTAACATTCAAAATAATCTTGTAAGGGATGTGTTTTTATTATGAGAAAACTCAGGTCTAAGGAAGTCAAATGACTTACCCAAATTATATTCAGAATTTGAACACAGTTTTAAGTGTGTATATCTCCAAAAACCATGCTTTTTCTCCCATGTACTACTATCTTGATATACAAAAGAAAAAGGAATAATTCTATGTATGGTATTCACCAAGGGAAGAAAAATTAAGTACTAAAATCGTGTTTGATTATATAAAACATTTTGGCAGAACACTTACTTGTCCATTGAGAATCGTTAGGGGAGCAAAGAGGTGTAAGTCATAAAATATTTAAACTGCCAAAATATAAATGACTAGGAAAAATGGCATAAGATTTTGACTTCAAAATAAAGACAACTACATGTTTCACTGCAAGTATCAAGAAATCTGCCTCAAAATTCAATCTAAGAACATATGTAATTTGTATTATAATATTCTACTTAATTAAACAAGTAACAACACATTTAAAAATAACGTTTTTACTGTAAATATAGAAGGTAGAAATTAATTACCTGTACCGTTTCACATGTGGCCAATGGTAGTTCTGATAATGTTGATTCAGAAGCCCTTTTACTTTCATTAGTGATTCCATGCTCTTGACTAGGTTGCAATTTAAGAATTGCAGAATTGCTGTGTTCAGTGGGTCCTTCTTCATCACTGGAAACAACAACTGAAAAGGAAAAATGTACTTTAAATATGTCACAACCATCACATACCAAAAGTGAGTAGTCTCTAATTAATTAAAGTATCTTAATACTCCAGGTAAAAGTAATAGTTTAAATGTATTCAGCTTAAAAACCAACTTATGATTCCATACCCGATTCATATTGACTCTAGAATGTTTCCATATCAGTGCTATTTTTTCAGAAGTTAACTAAAACCTTACATTCATAAGGATATGGACTCATAAAATGGTTAAAGTTAATGAGATCCTAGGAACAAGTTCTTACAGTATCTTGCATCATCACCTTGAAGTCTTTTAACACTGACTTCTTAATTAGAAAATCAGAGTTACACAGAAAAAGGGAGAGAGATCTTCCCTTATTGCTTCACTCCCCAGCTGGAAACACCAGCTGGGTTAGGGGCTGGCGGAAGCCAAGAACCAGAGCTTCTCTTCATGTGGGTAATAGAGGCCGCCAACAGTCATCTTCTGCTGCTTTTCCAAAGCCATTAACAGGGAGCTGAAAGGAAGGGGAGCTGCCAACAACTCAGGTAATGACTTCACCATAAATATTTTCTTAAAAGCCTATTATACTAGTTGCTCCTGAAGGGAGCAAATGGATGGCAAAGGAGGAAAATGTGGGAGGGTATTCACTATATTTCCTTTAGTATCTTTAAATTTCTTGCATCATATGACTACAACAGCTATCCCATTAAAACTAAAAATTATTAAGGACTAATTGGTACTGAAAATCTCATATATTTCACCTACATCAACTCAATAACAGTAGTCATGCTATTTGGTTAATCCTTTCAAAACTGCTGGATTGAGCTAAAAATAACTTTTTAGATTAATAATAATAATCTACTTCCAAATAATTATATGTTAATATATTAAGTAATATATTAATAATCTGTTTCCAAATATTTATTCCTTTACCTTCAATGATATTGCAACAGTCAAAAAAGAAATTTCAAAAAATCCAAAATTTTTTCCAAAATTTAACATTTTACACAGTAATGTCATAACCACTTTTTGCACTGGCAAAATTTGTTAAAGGGAAAAAAAAGCTAAAAACATCAATTTCTATAATCTTGTTACTTACTTGGTTCAGCTGAATTCAATGACTGGTTTCCATCACTGTGATCACTTGGAGTAGACTTTTCTGTTGTATTTAACTCATTCTCAGCCTTCTCAATGAGGGAAGAAATCCCCACGGAATCATTGGAAATAGAGTTCTCAGAAGATTCAGAGATTGAACTGGCAGAAGCAGGTAGGGGAACATCACTCAAAGATAATTCCTGACCATTCAGTGCAGAAAGTTTAGTAAAATCATTTTCTGTAGGTTCAGGTGCAATATCTTCAAACAGTTTTTGGTCCTGATGATAGCTTTCATTTGACGTGCCCAACTCTGTGGATACTGTTGAGTCATTTTCTTGTTCTTTCTGAACATAGATAAACGCATACAAAATTTAGAATTTCCAAATTTGGCTTGCTTAAAAGACTTTTTTGAGGTCTAAGTTCTTAACAAATAATATAAAAGAAAAACATGTCATCTCTGTAACTAAATGGATAAAGGAAAAATACATGTTTATCATACATTATGTTTTTCAGCATATGAGCCAGTCTCTCTCCTTTGATGCCTAAACAACTTTTTAAAATGTGATATGCTCCCCATTACAAGTGATTCAGATGTCTCCCATGACCTGTTAAATATTTTCAACATTTTTGTCTTGCAAAAGTAACAAAGCTATGTAACCAATTACTCTAGTTAATACTAGGAAAACGTTTCAAACTTTACATCATAACAATATTAACAAGCCAACATTGGAGCATAATAGGTTAAGCCACTGTCTGGAACACCAGCATACCATATGGGTGGTAGTCTGAGTCCTGAATGATCTGTTTATGATCCAGCTCCCTTCTAATGCACCTGGGAAAGCAGTGGAAGATGGTACAAATCCTTAGGCCTCTGAAAACATACTGCAGACCTTTGCCTTGTGTGATGGCATCCCTTGTGGGCACTAGTTCAAGTCCTGTCTGCTCTACTTACAATCTAGCTCCCTAATAATGTGCCTGAAAAACACAGCAGAAGATGAATGAGTCCTTGGGTCCCCACATTCATATGGGAGACCCAGAAGAAGCTCCAGGCTCCTGGCTTTAGACCAACCCAGCTGTAGCCACTGTGTCCATTAGGGAGTGAACCAATAGATGGAAGATCAATCTCACTGTCTCTCTCTATGTGTCTGTCCAAAAAGAAAAAAAACAAACAAAAACCAGAAGCTGAACTGCATAAATAGTATTTGGTCAATGGGGAAAAAGAAAATTCTAAAATAAGTACATCAAACTATTCAGGAAAGATTACTATCAAAGAAGGGACAACTTTTACTCATGACATTTGAAATTTGTTATCTAGAGAGAAACTAGATTCAGGCAGGTTTTAAGTGCAAAGCTAAGAGAAAAACAATAAAGATATCTAATAAAAACTAAAAGATAAGAGAATACTATCTGTCCAGAGTCAACACATTCTTATCATAGCACAATATTATTTCCTATGGCAACTAAATACTTGTACTTACTGAGTGCTCTGCTGACTTAGCTGAAGAAGTAGAAGAATTTTGAGAATCAGAAAGATGACTTCTAAGTCTTTTCTTTCTCTTCCTGGAAATCACAGTGGGTTCCATTTTTGAATCAGAATATATAACATCCTTGTTTTTGCTTCCCTCTTCAAGACAATCACAGCCTCTACAGGCACTGTTAAAGTCTTAAAAAACAAGAGGTATAAATATGGCCAAAAGTACAGGAAGACTCCCTTTTAGATATACACAAAGAAACATTGTCAAAATTGCTATTATACATCCAAAGATCATTAAAATAGAAGTCTGCTATTAAATTTTCATGCTGACACTGGATAAACATACAGAAATATCCTGCATTAGTGCATATATAACACAAGCAAATGTTCATGATACAATATATATGATGGAAATTCATAGAGAGAATTATTTTCAAGCCAAGTTGCCATGAATGGATTTGACTCTAAGCCAAAACAAACAGAAAGATTCATAAAATCCGAAAAATTCACATCTCAAAAGTCTTGATGATCTGTTTTGATTTTATAAGCCAGTTATTTCTTAAAATGCTTCTTTCTCTCTCTCTCTCATGTATACACACACTAAAGATGGAAAGACACTATAATTATGAAGAGAAGAGAGTTGAGTGCTCCTTCTTTAACAGTAGTCAAAAGCAGTCTCTGGTAGTTTGCCATGACACAAAATAAAATCATTTATACCACTGTCAATTTGAGTTCAGCCATCACCTGATACAACAGCATCCCACATGTGAGCACTAATTCAATTTCTGCCCAGTTGTCTTCCAATTCAGCTCCCTGAAAATGTGCCCAAGAAAGCAGTAGATAATAGCCAAAGTACTTGGGCCTCTTGTCAACCACGTGGGAATTCCAGGGGCCAAGCCCCAGAAAGGCCCAGCCAGGCAATTATGGTCATTTGGGGCATGAACCAGTAGTTACAAATGATTCATTCCTTCTGTCTTTTTCTCTCACTCTCATTCTGTCTTTCAAACAAATAAGAATAACCTGCCAAAAAATAGCCAAATACAGTCTCTAAACACAAATAGTACAGTAGAAATAATGATTAAAAATGAGTTTAAGGGTTAAGATGCTACTTAGGGGATGGCATGGTAGCCTAGTGACTAAAGCCTTTACCCTGCATGCACTGGGATCCCGTATGGGCACAGGTATGTGTCCCAGCTGCTCACTTCCCATACAGTTCCCTGCTAGTGGCCTGGAGAAGCAGTCAAGCACAGCAAAAAGCCTTGAGACTCTGCATGCATGTGGGAGATGCAGAGAAGCTCCCTGCATATTATACAGGTAAACTTAATATGGTACAAAAAGAAAGGAAGAATCTGAGTCCTGGAGGGGATGGGAAGCAGCTTTGGCTGCCCAGCCTAGGTCATTTGGCTTGCATGCATGGTAGAAGACAGGCCCCTGAGCCACAGAGGGCACAGGGAGCAGCCCAAGTTCGGCTTCCCAACAGCATGCTCAAGGGAACTTTGATATGTTTGCTTGCAGAGGGCCCAGAGGATGGTACAAGCATGGTGTGCGGGACCGGAGGACTCACATCCAGGTGAAGAATGATTTCTGAGGGACTTCCATCAACAAGGCCACTGTACTTGCAGCTAGGCAGGAGGACTGAGACCAGAGGCTTGAAGGGAAGAAGCTAAAGAACCTTTATGGGTCAGACCAATGCACCGGCCCATGTGGAACACCTGAGCACGGCTAGTTAACATCAACTACCACTGACACCCACTCACTATTGTACAATAAAGCTAGGATTGTGGGCCTACCTGGCAGGACTAGATCTCAGTACCTACCAGTGACAGTCGAAACAGAGCATGGATAATGTTAGGCTGGCCATGATACTAAAAATCATGCGAGAGAACCAGCACTGGGGGCAGATTATGTGGGGGCTACATGAGCCCACCCATGTAGAACTGCAATTTCCACTGGTTTGCTTAAGAGCTGGTGTGGGTGACAGACTAAGCCAGGCATGACCATGGAACCTGTTGGGGGCACTGACCATTTCCTGCCCTGTGATTGGCCCTTTGCCCTGATTGGTGTGCCTTGGTTCTCTTTAAGTTGATTGGTCAAGTTTGACAGTTAAGCGGGGGGCTTGGCGGGGGAGGGGCTGGAGCGTAACGGATATAACGGTGATAAGGGACAACGAACAACGGTCACGACGGGACGGAGGAGCAGAATAAAAGCGCCTTGGAGACTCTCTCAAGTGTCGGGTGATTTCTTCCGCGGGACGGGAGGACCCCCGATATTTGGTACCGTGACTCAGATAGAATATACCTGGTGCTGTGACTCGGATAGAAGATAACTGGCGCTGTGAATCGATAGAAGTCAGCTGGTGAACACCAGGAAGGTAAGCTGAGCAGATCGCTCAGGGAGCCGCTTAGAGCGGGGAATTAGTTACAACTGAGCTTTTTGCTCAGGAAGCCGCAGCAGCGGGGGGCCCATTTAAGCTGAGGTTTCAGGTTACCTCAGGGAGCCGCTGATAGCAGCGGGGACGTGCACGTCAAGTTCGCGGATTAGCGACGAGCCAAGTTCGCAGGGTAGCGACGAGTGGAGTTAGTCAAGTTCGCGGGTAGCGACGAGTCAAGTTAGTCAAGTTCGCGGGTCGCGACCATTAAAGCTGGGTTTGCCACCATTCAGGATCGCGGTTTGCCGCCATTCAGGATCGCGGTTTACCGCCATTCAGGACCGCGGTTTGCCGCCATTCACTATCGTGGTTTACCGCCACTCACGATCGCGGTTTACTGCCACTCACGATCGTATTTAACACCCATTTACGATTGCGTTTACTGCCCATTCACGATCAATCGCGGTTTGCCGCCATTCAGGGTCGCAGTTTACCGCCATTCAGGATTGCGATCTAGCGCCCATTCAAGTTCGCAGTTAACGATCAATTTCGCCATTTGACAATCATCCAAGTTTGCAGGTTAGCGACGATCAGCGGTGTTAGAAATATGGGCAATTTAACTTCTTCAGCGCGCATGCAGCCTTTATTGTACAAACTGCTGATGGTGCTGTTGTTTTTGCAAACGGTGCAGAGGATCGCACCGTGGTTTCTGGAGGAGGATCTTTTGATCCTGCCACAATGGGAACACTTAGGCAGAGACTTAGCTAGGGCAGAACAGCAGGAGCCCCTCCCTCCAGGAACGGTCAGGTTCTGGACATTGATTAAGTTTTGCCTGACAGATGGCACTGATAAATTCAGAGGAGTATACAGGAAGGTGAGAAAGTCTTATGGAAACGCAAAAAAAAAAAAAAAAAAAAAAAATCAGAATGGATGGTTTAAAGACGCTTAATGATTTCCAACAGGTACTGGAGTATACTAATTGGATCCAACCATATTTATGTATTATTTGACAATGCCAAAATTGTGTCCCATTTTTATCCCAGCCTTGCTTTGGGGTTAATCCCCGTGGTCTTATGCCTAATCATATATGGCAGATGGATATTACCCATGTTCCCAGTTTCTTTTGTTCATGTCTCTATTGATACCTGCTCTGGGGTTCTTTATGCCTCAGCTCATACAGGGGAAAAGGTTCAAGATGTTATATCTCACTGCCTTCAGGCTTTTGCAGCCTGGGGAGTCCCCCAGTGTTATAAGACTGATAATGGACCTGCCTATGCAGCCAAAGCATTTGATAAATTTTGTTCTGAATTTGCAATTAAACACTCTACTGGCATCCCATATAATCCCACAGGCCAGGCTGTGGTAGAGCGTGCCCATGCAACTCTCAAAGCATTATTAATAAAACAAAAAGGGGGAGTAGGAGCCACCCTATATCCCAAAAGTCCTAAACATCAATTGGCTTTAGTTACTTATATTTTTAACTTTTTGATTCTGGATTTGGATGGCCATTCTGCTGCCGAACGCCACACTGTTGGCGCAGGCCCCTGCAAAGATTGGGTGATGTGGAAGGATGTTTTAACAAAACAATGGATGGGCCCGCATCCTGTCTTACGACGGACGCGAGGAGCGGTTTGTGTTTTTCCGCAGGATTCTGATGGACCGGTGTGGGTGCCAGAACGTTTGACGCGAGTGATAAGAAAGCCGGAGCAAGATGAACCTGTGGACGTGGTGGATGCTGACCAGCCTGATGTTCATTCAGATACCGAGAGGAGACAACCAGAATCTCCAGCTAAAACTGCACCATAAAAGGTGTGCAGCAAATATTGACTCGCTGTCTAGGGCCTTGGAAATGGCCCCCAGAATGGACTGCTGTCAAAGTACTGTGACTCCTAGAAGAGTAGCACCTGATCTTGCTGTGACCAATTTATTTCCTACCTGTTCAAATTGTGCCTTTGTGGGGTATAACTATATATATGGTAACCCTGTTCAATCTGTTTCTGCTCAGTCTTGGAATGTCTGGGTACTTTGCACTAATAGGGGTGGGTGTTCAGATATATCAGCTTTTGCATTTATTGATAAGGTAGTGATAAGAAATTGTAATTATAGTAGTAGTAGTTCTAGAATATGGGAAGAAAATGTTAAAGTTAATTGCAGTTGTTATGTTATCTATAATGCTATTTATGTATGTATACAAACTCCATTTATGTTTATTGTTAATTGCTCTGTAGTTAAGTGAGCCCTTAACCAGTGTTGGAATGGCTCTGGCACTGTGGTGCTGGTACGCATTCCACAACTTATTTCCATCATATGGGGACCTCCTGTGTGCTTAGTCTACCTGGAATGTGTGTCACTCCCTCTATTGTCACCAATGGTTCCCGAGCACTGAATTTGTCCAGAGAATTATCCGCTACGCTATCCCCTAGTGGAAGCTGGTCCATACGACAAAAGTAGAGATTGCCATAGTAAAGCAATGGACAAATTGCATACTAAAGGATCTTTCCTTTGCACACCAATGGGCTGGTATAGTAGCCATGGGCCTTATATCATTCTTTGGGGTCTGTGGATGCTTCATCCTTGAGCACAGCGTCAGCAGCAGTAACAGCAGCTGCTAATGCAAGCTGTGCTTGCCCTTCACAACAGAGAATCCCCAGAAGTCTGGCTAGGCATGCTGGACCGGTAGCCAGAGACGGGTAAGTATCCGATACGGCTTCACCAACCTAAGACAGGCGCCACATTCCTAGCCATGTGGTTAGCCCATGACAGGTAAAGGGAGCCCAAACTCGGAACACCTAAGACAGGCACGGTCCCTTGCTTAATAAAA